TGTGCGTGATTTTTGTTTCATTGTTGTTGTTTTTTGTAAGAAGAGACCCAACATGGATCATGTGATCAATCACTTTGGTGATCCATTTTGTTTTGTTCTATCTTAATACTGAGAAAACTTATGACACTACGTGGAGGTTCAGTATTTTACAGAATCTCTATCATTGTGAGTTGAATGATAACTTATTTATTTTTATGTGGAACCTTTAGCAGACAGCTAGATCATTGTGAATTTTAGAACCAATAATATATTCATATCCTTCGCACAGGAGCTTAGAGCCTGTCAGAGCTGTATATTGAGAGTCACGTGTTTTTATCTTTAAGATTAATTTTATCATTAAACAACTCCCTCCAACAATTCAAAACAGTTTTGATATTGATTTTCAGACTTCCTGAATATCCCTGAATATGAGGCATAGGGAAAAGCAATTCCTGTTTTCAATAAACTATGTGTCAACCACTGCAAGTGGTTTAAAATTCTTATAATCTATGTATGTCTGTTTGTATACATTTCTTCTACCAATGGGGATTGCACCTTGAAACTGAACTCCATCTGGGAGGTGCACAAATATCTATGGTGGCTGAAACTACGTTCTTAGAACTTCCCGCCAATAAACTGACTTTTAAACTGCACATCTAAAGCAATTTTAAAGCCAACCATTCAAAGTCACTGAGCATCCTCTGTCTCCACTCTACCACCTCATAAGGAGTGGATAGATGGACTATGCTCTGGGTTTACCAAACTTTCATTTGATGTAAACTAGATTAAAGGTCTCTAGTCTGTGCCTCAATTGGAGAAAATACATTGATTATGTTGGACCTTCTGCATCATCAGAGGCTCTGGCTCTACACAAGGGTTTTCCACACTTCAAAACAATTTTTCTACAGCCTGGTGGTTAAGGCCTCAACTCACAATCTGCTTGTCGCGGGTTTGAATCCCATTACCGCCATTTCAGCCGTGGGGGCGATATAATATAACAGTCAATCATACTGGTCATTAGTAAAAAATAACTCAAGAGTTGGCATTGGATGATGTTGACTAGCTGCCTTCTCTCTAGTTTATCACTTCTAAATTAGGAACAGCTAGCACAGATAGACCTTGAATAGTTTGCACGAAATTCAACAAACAAACAACAACCGATTTGCTTCTTATCTAGTTGATTTTACGTGTTGATTTCACTTGATAACTAATAAGTGCGGATAATCTCTGAAAGAGTTGATTCGTATTGATTCATTTATTTGGAATAGTCTTTAGTATTTTTAAAAGTTTAAAAAAGATGAACACCTTAAAATGTTTTTAATATGTATATATGTTTATATTAACTGGTAATAAACTATATTAAATCTTAAATATCAGTAATTTTTTCTCTTGTGTATCTGAAACCAATTAACAAAGTGTTTATACACTTGTATTTTGCAAGTCAAAATGCATGCACAAGTTTATCACAAGCTAGACTGGCAAAATGATTCGTTAATAAGAACAATGTTTACAGAGAGATGATTTATGAAACATCGAAACTGAGAAATTACAGACGAAAATTAAAATAAAATTGGCTTTACTTATGGTTGTTGTTGTATATTGTTGAATAAAACAATAAGTTCTAATGTCGTTTTATTTCTCATTTGCTTTTGATACTATTTTTAACCTGTAAGTATTAACTCTCCAAGAGACTTTTATTTTTAACACTGATACATAACGATTCCATAATAAAGGTGTGAGACAGGTGGTATATAAAAATGTGTTGTTAAGAAGGGTGCAAAGACAAAAGCGAAACATTTAAATGTAGTGAAAATATCTGTTTTTGTCTTACAGCAAAGAGCAAAGCATCTGCTCAAATGAAAATAAAGTAAAATAATTATAAATAAAACATGTATTTTGTTGATGGAAGATTGTAGATCAGTAACCACAAATTAAACTGCTTGAAAAAAGTTAGAAAAACGAAACTCATCTCTCGTCTCATTGCTCACGTCAGGCTATTTCCAGAACATTTATTACAATCACCAGTAAACAAAACACTTACTTTACATATATTCAATATTACAATGGCGTCTTAGCTGTGTGCGATCTTCAACACAGCGTAACTCGCATTGTCTAAATAGGTTCTACGTGTTTGTATTTGGCAGTGTTTATAAATCAGGAGAAAAACAAATAACAAGAATGGAACAACTAGAATATAGGATAAATACGTAAATGAAAATATTTTCTGGCGTTCTTTATTGGAAACTAATAACACACTTAAGGCTTAATATTCAACGAAGAATACTGAACACTACAACCAGCGATGGGTAGAAATAACATTTATCCATGAAGACTTTAAAAAATAAGATATCAAACGAGACTCAAGAATAGCAATTCATGAGCTTCCAAAAAAAATAGCCATAAACACTGTTGTTATTCTGCAAGACCAATCTACCCCCATTCCTGAAACGGGAAACATCAGAATCAATAGAATAATTTTTAACTTATTCTCAGGATTTTGATAAATCAAAAATTTCCAAATCAACCAGCTCATAAGTGAAATACAAATATTAAATCAGTAGTGTAAACCCATAGATGAGTTTCGTTCAACAATATGAAACAGGTCGAAATAGGAACAGTATTAACATAAAGTCGAAAAATTACAAACTGGATAGACAACTCAATACACATCCCCTTCTTTTTTTTTAGTTATGATATTCACGGCAAATCTACGACTGTAAGTTATATCCGAATGTTCTTAGATATTAAACTACTAAGTTAAGAAAGGTTTGTTTGTTTGTTTGAAATTAAGCACAAAGCTACACAATTGGGTATCTGTGTTCTGCCCACCAGGGGTATCGAAACCAGGTTTCTAGCGTTGTAAGTCCGCAGACACACCGCTGTGCCACTGAGGGCCATTAAGAAAGGAAAGGAAAAGTGCCATGCCGATAATTAATTACTGTATTACAAGGGCTGGATAAAACCAACGTATTCACTAAAGTAGATCTGACAACTAGATGTCATCAGTAGAAGCTAGCACTAGAGACAAGATATACGTTCTCTACACACTCGGGTCTCAGAAGGTAAAATGAACTGAGTTTTGTTCTAGTATCCCCTACCAAACTGCTTCACAACAATGTAGGACTAACGATTGCATCAGTATCCTTATTCACACATATCAAGCTAATGAAAACTCGTAAGGACTCATAAATCTTCTAATACAAAGGTAGATTCAAACCATTTGTACGAATTAAACAGTGCTTTGATTTTTAAGTATCATTTCTTACAGTTGCCAAAACAGTGTCATTCACATCAACAAAAGCTTTAATTCTTTGTCCCAGCCAAGTATTCTTTCCAAAGAAAGGAAAACGGAATCACCATTTAACAGTTTTTTGATCAAATACCAGCAAGAAGCAGAACGCTGACAAACATCTAAACACGAACTAGAAACATTTATTTTAGAATTCGGAATCCCCAACCCATTCATAAGTCATTAACACGACAGTTGAAATTCGGGTGTGAAAAAATTTACAGGGAGAGAAAAGAAAGTATATGTTTTCTTTAAAACTCGCAGTTATCGTTCTACACATACTACCCTAGAAAATCGTCTTTTCTAGCAGGCACTGAAGTAACAAAAGATCAAACATTTAGAATGAAACTTGTTTAAGCGCTCTCCTGCTGGGACAGCGCTAAAATCAGCCGTTCGATTCCCCTCGGTGGACACAGAAGATAACTCGATGTGGTTTTGCTATAAGAAAAATACAAACACATCCACCTGTTTAAACGTTATCTGTATTATCACTTAAAGCTAAGTACTTCTGTTCGTGAAATGTTGTCTTAAGATGTAAAATGAAACAAAAAACTGTCTCTAAAAAAAAGTAAAAGTCATATAAATCACCCAATCATCGTCAATTAACTTTTCGAACTTGAGAAAATTTTCCAGGACAATAATAACAAAGCTTCACATGAATGCCTTTTTTCTTTCAACGGTTACTTTAAGACAGTGATTTTCTGTAAAGGTTGTTTTCAATATCCGCATCCGTACGTTACTAGATATACTGTCAAATATTTTTAATGGTTAACTAATTTAAAAAATGATACGGAGTTCTAGTTGTATCCAAGCTGATATTTAGTAAGTAGCATATTTGTGCATGCCTGATTAGGAAATATGTGTTTGTGACTTGCACTTTCTAAGGTCAGGATGGAATTTATTTACTTTAATTATCCGGTGACTTACCCAGAAAATATTTTGGATTCATTAGAAATTTAATAACTTTTCTAATACCATATCATATACGGTTTAGTCTAAGAAAAGGGTGTTAAAATTAAAGTTTCATTATTATCTTTTTAAAAACTATTTTCCTGGAGTTTCTGTAATACGTATTGATTTTAATGTGCATCATTTTTCCTAATAAGCAAGAAATAACAGCTTAGTAGACGCTAATGTCTTGCTTTTTTCTCGAAACAATAAGATACAAGACTGAATGTTAATCTCTATTTAAAAGAATGCGTTTTTTGTCATAACATCATAACAAATCTTTTGCACAACATAATTATTCAGAACGAAACGAACGAAATGGTGTCTTACATAACTATACTGTTTTCATACAGACACACAACACCTGAAAAAAGCATTCTTTTTTTTTACGCTTTCACAATCTCTCGATCAGCGAGTGGCTGAAAGTTACTAAGGCAACTTAAATTAAGAAAATAATTATTTTTACATATATATTCTACCCCGTGCTCCAACTTAAAAAAATTTATTGATCGCCATTACAGTTTTATTTACCAAATAACAAAGTTACCATACTGATTAATTACAAAAAGGAAAATAACTTAGGTCGAGTAAGTTTATAAAAAATATATTACTTCAGTGAGTAATATTGCTAATATCTCATTTGATGTTGCATCTTTAATTGGTATTTCCCCAAAACACATAAAATAAATAGTCATTGCTAAAAAACAGTTTTAATAAATCTTCATAAAAACACGTATGATAGTCTTTGTTAAAAACAGCTTTAATAAATCTTCAGCAAAACAAGTAAGATAGTCTTTGTTACAAAGCAGTTTGATAGATTTTTCATTAAAACACATACGATAAATAGCCTTTGTTACAAAACAGTTCTGTTAAATCTTTAATCAAAACACATACGTCAGATAGTTTTTGTTACAAAACATGTAAATTGTCGCATGACTTCCAGCTGGCCGAAGACCTGCCTAATATTTTTTTAATAAAACATTTTGCTTTTCCACCAACAAGCTGTGACGAACGACTTTTGTTTCTTTCAAGCGTGATCGATTGTCTTTTCTTCTTCACTGTTTCTTCATGTTGTAGCTTTAGTCGAATCTGACTTAAAAGACCAACAAGTAGTTCATCCACGTGATGGTTGATTCCCACCGATGTTTCTATAAACTTGCAACCGTAAGATGTCGCCATGGTTCGGCCATCTGGGTGAAATATATGCGTAATTATCATAAACAGAGAACGCTATAATCATTTACACATTACATGAAATTACTTAATTTGAAACCATTAAACATTAAAGAGTAATAGCATATGATTACAACTGATCCATGCCTTCCTATAATCAAAGAGAAAGTTATGTGATGAACCACGACGCATTTACAAGATACATACCTTCAGCTACCCTGTACACAATACGTAAAATACTTTATACATATATATAAACAGATCCATGGGAAACATTCGCTAGAAGTTGGTAGGATCTTCTACGCATAAAATATTTCCATCTTTTTCGAAATTTTAATTAAGACTAGTTGGTATTTTAGATAAGCTCGAGTCCCTTGGTGGGTCAGACATAATTTTATGGGCTTAAAACGTTAAAATCCAAGGTTCGATTCTTGGCAGTTCACAGAGCACGAATAGGCCATTGTATGGCTTTACGCTAAAAGAAACAAACAAGAAAAGCTCGAAAAATATAAATATAGAAACTTTTGATTTTGACTAAATATTAAAGTTGTTTATTTAAATTAGGTGATTTAAAGGGTTAAAACACTTTCCCAAAATCAATTAGTTTGAATTAGCCTGCTACACGATTTTGATATTTAATGTCATTATATTCATTCATTTCAGTAAGACGATATTCCTTTTCAGATCTGAAGGATACGTTGAAATATCATTTATAAAATGCTTCCGACGATAACAAACAAACTACAACTTGACATATGAAGAGTATGTGCTCATATTAGATATCAAAACCTTTGCAGCGATCAGCTGAGTAATTTAGTTTCGACCTCTATCAGCTCTCATCAACTTAGCTAGGTACATTAATGTTATCCAAATGGTTTGGACTCATGAGAGTTGATAGATTGAAACTGCAGTACTTGGCTAAGAAAGTATAAAGGCTTTGTTATTCAATATAAACGAATCCGTTTTATATCTTAAGATATAAAACCGCAAGGCAAACATAACCAGAGATATAATGCTACCTGCAATGAACATAACCAGAGCTAATAATAACAGCAATGAACGTAATCCGAGAGCTTATGCTACCTGCAATGAACATTACTAGAAAGCTAACGTTACCTGCAAAATTAAATAAACTTAAACGTTTTTCTGTTATGGAGTATTAATACAAAGAGATGCGTATAAACAAAAACTACAACAACGTATATTTTCTCCTCTATTCTACTAATACATATTTTTACAAAAAGACGGCATTCGTAAAATAATAACTTCTATCATATCTTAATCTTATCAGTCATATCTAAACCTGGTGCACACTAATAACTTAATAGAACAATTGTTACAGTTAATTTTAGTAGCTATAGGGAAACAACTGTGGAATCTTAGTAAAACATGGGGAGGTGTTTTCTCTACGAAAATTCGGGGATGGTGAAGCAAGATACAGATATAACCAATTAACTAAGATGTCTTCACCTCACCTTCCCTTGCACTGTCAGCCTAACTGTGTATTTGATTTCTTTGTCTAGGCTAACCAAGCTAAAAAGAACATAATCTTACATACCGTCGGTTGTGACTACTCTCAGTCTAACTAGGTCGGCCTTGTTTCCTACTAGGATAACGGCTTTCTTGTCGTTGCTAGGATATTTAACAATCTGCTGGAGTAAGTGTTTGGTCTGTTGGAAGCTGCGCTTGTTGATGACGGAATACACAACAATGTAAGCATCGAAGTTGCAAATGGTTAATAAAATCTGGAAACGAAAGAATGTTTATGTTCATAGAATTGTTTTATGAACCTACAAGAACATACAAAATGATATTGTGGATTTATTTAGATAACAAAGGTGTATTTGAAATACGAATATAAAATCTCCAACCCAGAATTAAATTTGGTAAAATATTTGAGTGTTATAGTTACTGGTTAATGTTTCGCTCCCTTATATTCAACATTAAAATAATAATAATTCTGTGATAATAAATATTATTAGCGTTATTGTTGAAAATGTTATTGGTATTTACATGTTTGTTATTTCTAACCTCCGATATATAAGGGTCAAAAATGTAATTAATCTTTGCACATATCGGTTTTTATGTGCTGAATTTTGGACATTATGAACCCAAATAAAAAACACTAATAGAAAATGTTCAACATTTTTCAAACATACCGGTAATCTTAAAATATTAATTTCACATTTCTCACTGTCAAGTTATAAAAAGTAAACAGTTTTAATACTTCTTTCCATATGTGATACTTTCTAGTGGCAAACCGTCTTTATCCCAGCACATTTTACATACTTTCATTTTAAAATGTGAAGAATAAATTCTACTCAGTTCAAATCAACTACAAGTTGGGAAGTCATCATGAACTCTATCACACGTTTCGATTATGGCGCTTCACGTACACGTGTTTGAGTCTTAAAAATTAAAAGAAGTAAGTAGTTTCGTTGATTTTTTTAAGTGACTTGTATATGATATATTTCGGATCTTCTGAATATTCTTTAACTTCATGTTATCACTTTTCATGAAGTGACTTTGATCGGTATAAATAAAACGTTAATCTATATAGAAAGAAATAATATATACATTTACTTACGTATATACTTTATAAGGCAGTTATTTTGTTTTTACGTTGATTTATTTCTGGGTTGAGAGAATAGTCTAAAAGAATAAAGGAAATTTTGATTTAAGGTTTCTATGTTGAGATATAATTTGGAGACGCTTTCATTCCCCAGTGATTTAGTGGTAGTTTACAACTCAATACACGACACTGCTAGATTGCTGTATCTATTAAGCCTTTACTTTATGAATTAAGAGTAGAAAAATGATAATATGAAGTTAAAGGATATTCAGAAGATCCGAAATATATCGTATACAAGTCACTTTAAAAAATCAACGAAACTGCTTACTTTTGTCAAGTTTTAAAACTTATCATCAAATGTAAGTTCGTAAAGGAACTCAAGTGAACATCTCAAAGATCGACTGTAAATTGCAAAGTAATGGGGCAAATGGCCCGAGTTTAACAGCCATTTAAATATTTACCATGTGAGGCCGACGTCAAAGAAGCCGCGAATAGTAGTCGTTTCTCTGCTGATTCCCTGTACTCAGTAGACCTGCAATGCGAGTGACACATAAGCACGCCATCCATGAAAACAGCGAAATAAATGCCGTGCGAGGCGCGAGTACATGCAATAGTATATATAGTATAAGCTGAATAACCACTTATTTACATTCCAGAGCAAATACCTGATTATTAGATACTTGATTTACATAAGAATGAAATGAGATAGTTGGCATTATTTCATAGCAGCGAATTTGCCTTGCCATTCCTATAATTTTGCAAATTCCTGAATAAAACTTATGATCCTCAATGTGCCCTTCGTGAACTTTAGCTCCGCTAGGAGAAGCAGTTTTTAAAGCATAAACATTTTATATATATGTGGCTTTCTTTATAATTACCCTGTAATTATCTTTGCACCTGGGTGACACATTGTTTTATGTACACGAAGCAGATAGTTTGTATAAGACTGCAATCAGTCATTTTGTATAAAACAGTTATTATTGTTACATTCGTGCAATTTTAGTTCACATCAAATAAATATATAGAGTCGATGTAGTTGAGATAATCATTCAATATTATACATGGTGTTTATTCGTTTTAAAGTGATAAAACAAAGTGTTTGGTGTTTATAAATCATTGTTTGGACTCGGAATATACACTATTTGTGTGTGTGTATGTTCAGAGGTGTTGCTAAGTACTTAAAACATTTGGGGCTATGGCCCATAGCACCTCTTCACCCCATAATAATAATTGGATTTTTCAACATTTTGCGGAACACAAAATAAAATGATGTACAAATGATATAATGAATTACCATAGTAAATTATTCTTTATAGAAGGTCAAAGAACTTCCGTCATGTTTCCAGGTTGTTATTGTTCTACTAATTACACTTTTACTGTGTACCGCAGAAACGCAATTTGATGACGTAAAAGCCTGGCTTGACCAATGACGATTCTCCTTTTTGTGCGAGAAGGGTAGAGCTCCGCCCTCGCCGCGCCTTGTACTGAAAGCCACCAACATTGGCGGTTTTCCGCTGAGTTTCAGAACTCGCAGGATTTTTGGGTGTTTCAGAATGATATTGACCCTGGTTTCATATTCTGAGCATTTCGTAGCACATGAACCATATATGTTTATGTCAATTTGCGAACAGATCTTGTCTCTATGCGCAAGTCACCCTTTTAGATGTGGGTGCGTTATAAGAGTGAGTGTCAATTCCTTTATTCATTTCAAAGCCGAACAAAAGTGGCAGGTATTACTGACTGGCTTTCTTTCCTCTGTAGGCCTGGCATGGCCAGGTGGTTAGGGCGCTCGATTCGCAATCTACGTGTCGCGGGGTTCGATTCCCCGTCCCACCAAACATACTCGCCCTTTCAGCCATAGGGGCGTTATAAAGTTACGGTCAATCCCACTATTCGTTGGTGAAAGAGTAGCCCAAGAGTTGGCGGTGGCTGGTAATGACTAGCTGCCTTCCCTCTAGTCTTACACTGCTAAATTAGGGGTGGCTAGCGCAGATATCCCTCGTGTAGCTTTGTGCGAAATTCAAAACAAACAAACCTTCCCTCTGGTAGGTAGTCCAAAATTAGGGCGACAAAACCCATGTGTGCATAAGATATACCAACAACAATAGTTATATATCAGTGAATGAGCGTTTCGGTAATATCAGGGTTCTAGTACGCTTTTAGTGATCTCGATTAATCTGCGTTTGCACATACTAATCACTGAATATGCTTATATATCCAACAAACCTCAATAAAATGTTACTCTCATGCCCCCTCCCCCCAAAAAAAAATAATTAACTTAGTTCAACTAATATTTTTTAGATTTTGATGTAAAAGTTTACAACTAAGGTTAACTGTTAAACTCGGGATGTCTTAGCGTATACCAAAATCAGAATACTTGAAACTTGTGAATAAAAAACGATCGTATGATATTATCAGGCTTTAAAATGTAGCGTGTTTTTTGTATTTGTTTTTGCTGTTCAGTAGTATTAAATTATAGTTAATCATTAATATCTTAAATACGCTATTTTATCTAAACAATTGCTCCCCCCCCCCCCAAAGATTCAGCGGTAAGTCTGAGGGCTTCATCGCTAAAAACCGGGTTTCGGTAGTGGTGGGTACAGTGGGAACAAACAAACCTAAATTAATTTTCTCTGTTGTTTTCTTTAACATCGAACTACGGATTCCTAAGAGTACAACAAAGCGGTGATTTTTATTTTGTAAGTAGTCACATACATTTGTTTTCTAACCTAAGAGCGCGTTGCATTTCATTTCTGTTTGGATTTATTTGATTCGACTCAATAGTTAATGCATATGAAGTAGATATTTTAATTCTTAGTTTATTTGTTTTGGGATTTTGTCAGTGCCTGCGAAGATTTTTTGCTTTTTCTGAGGCACCCCAGTTCATAAAGTTTTAAATTTAAAGAGTCAAGATTCTTGTAAAAGGTCTTACTTTCATTTTAAACTGTCTTAATCCCGAAAATTGGTAAACATGATTCATGGAAGAATCAAAGCAGCTTCCAAGTACACCTAAAAAATTAATGTTAGATACAATATTGGTTCAGCAATATTAAGCTTATTAGGCTTTAGACAAGTATTGAACTACTATTTTTATCTGATCTTGACAGTCAGATACAATTGTTTTTTTCTTTAATTTAGCAGTTTTCTGAACTTCTGGGTTTCAGGTTAAACATAAAGGTAACATATAGATACGTAATCTTAAATATCATTTCGCTAAAACAAAAGAATATTTCATATACATGTTAAAGATTTCTTTTCTTTTTCACCAGAGGTGAAATTGAAAAGAGAATCTGTGACGTAGAGACCTAATGCAGTAAAACGGACTAAAATCACCATATATAGATGTTTTAGTTTTGTAACAAAATTATTTACGTATATGCAAATATGACGCGAAATTGAACTATTTTTGCTGAAGAGATCTGTGAAGTACTATAGCCAACCAATACTGGATATATTGTTGATCAATTTACAGGAAGGTAAATTTTCCAAAAATCTTTTAATATTAGTTTGTAATATGCAGAAACCGTTAGGATAAAGAAAATACTTGTCATATTTTAATAATATACCTTGTTAGCAAATTAATCTATATAGATATAATAGTACTGTCTGTTGTATGTCCATGTAACTACTTCGCAGGGTGTGGATGGATCTTCACCAAAATTGGTATGCAGATTCAATCAGTCTGTGAGGAGATACATACAAATTTTCATTTTGCGGTTTTATGGGCATTTTGCCATTTTTTACCACTGCTTCACACCATGTTGATGGACCTTCTCCAAATTTGGCATGAATATTTTTTGTGTCCATGCGGAGATACAGGCAAACTAACGGTTTCACATTTTATGTTTAGCGCTTTTTACAATTCCATATAAGGGAAGCAACTTTTCATGTCCTAACCTTTCATTAGTCATGAATTTACATAACTTCCGTCCAGGGTACGGGTACTCCAGCTAGTATACGATAAAATAGTAGTACACCATTTACTTAACTACTTTGAAAACTTCGTGTAGTTAAACATGAATTTATCTTAGCGGTGGAAGATTTTACTTATCATAGAGCTTTCGGAACTCAAACATATATATATATATAGACTCAAACAATGAACATAACATGTTTTTTTTTTTCTCTTGTACCATCACCATTATTACAAAATACAACAGAACCGCAACAACAACAGTGATGCTCCTGAGGAGCATAGCTTTAACAACATTGCTGGCCCTAGGGGACTTAGATTTACATATATGACAAACAAGATAAAATCGTTTATCTTCGTATGAGTTTGCATATTTATCAGATGAAATACACTAACTTACCATATTATCCACAAACGAATGCTCGACAAAAACTAGCTCTGACTCCTGTCCGTTAAGAACTATGGTAACTGATTTCTCATTTTCTTCAGCTGTAAATAAAGCAACAAATATCACTGCTGTGAAAAATTACAAGTTAGAAAGCGATAAAATGCTTCAATAAAATGAACTAACTACAAACTAATTATATGTAAATCCTGCTTTGCTCAATTCTTGTCAATAAATATTTTCATCAGGTACAACTTTTTCAATGGGAAAAGCTTAAGCTATTTGTTCACTAATTGGTTGAACTATTTTTATTCTTGGAATCACAAGCAGCGGAACAAATTTTAATTTAGGGAAAGGGAGAGCACCGACGACTGGGGCCACTTTATTTGCCATTTTAAAGCAGCGACTTTCCCTGAAAATTGTAAACACGTCTATTCCCCATTCAAATGGACACTTCACTATTGGGTCAAAAAATGGGAGCACGTGTCCCCATTGTTTTGCCAGTTCTGCCGATCATGCTTGGAATTCCCATTTGAGCGACTTGCAAGACTCGGCCTTTTTTAAAGAATTCGTATTGGATACGTTTGCAATTACATATGAAATGAGTAAAAATACTGATAATTGGTAAATATATTTTATTTGTTTCTGTGAACCATTCTTTATTTTCTAGTGCAAGTAAAGGATTTATTTCGATCAAATTTCGATTTTGTTTAATACCAAATAACCTTATTTTTAAATGTGCTAACAATTACCAAATTTGTATGTCTATAAGTGAAGAGATACAAGTAACTCTGAAAATAAAAGAAACCTGAAGAGAAAGAACATAAAGAAGGCTTATGTCATAAACATTCTGTAAAATAACGTCAATCTTTATTTCGATTTGATTCAAAGCTAGTTTATTTAGAAAATGTGCACTTGGTTGAAATATTTTTTTTATAATTATCTGAAACTTTTATAGTAAACACGTGAAAAATCAGAGGTGTTAATGTCCAAAATTAAAAGCTAAGAGAGGGAGTCTGAAGAAAGCAATTAATACAAGTTTCGGCAATTCGATTCAAAAGGGCTTCTATTTTACTATCCAGAAGTCTCGTCTACTGATATTTAAAAAAGATGTCAAGAAGATGAAGTAATGACTCTACACGTGTTTTTGAGCTCAACCTTGGTATTTTTTTAAACACCAACAATGCAACACGCCTACTAACCTAGTTTTAAAATGGAACATTGTCGTTCTACTTTCTTCAATCCTACGACTTATTACGTTACAAATATTTATATAATTTACCACTGTTGGACAACTAATCATAAATTACCTAAGCAAAATTTTTTGAAAAATATTTTGAGACACACACACACACACAAATAAATTAAATACAGATTCCAGAAAATGACTATAGGAAAAGTAAGCTTGCTGTTCTTCAGAAATAGTACATATATATATATATATATATTAGTTTAATAAGCATATGACAATATGTTACTTTTTAATTTATTTCGTTATTTATTCTTATTAGTAATTTAAGTTTTTAAGGTTTTACGTTACCTTTTGACAAGAAAACAACATGT